CACATTTTCACTAACCTTAGAAAACGGGTTGTGTGGGACATTATAATTTGCCTCGGTTTGTGTTCCCCACTTTCATTACCCGTGTAGACGCTTTTGGGTGACATTGTCTCATTCCCTGGCAGACGGGTATGTTTTTCGTTATTATTTAATCCGCTAGACGGTTCCTGTATCACATTAGCACTTACATGTACCCGGTAGACGTGTTCTCTGCAACAATTTCACTTTCCCGGTAGACGATTTAGTGGCAAGTTTGTTTAAATTAAATCCTGCAAACGGGTTTTTTGTAATAACATCACTTACACAGGTAGACGGGTGGGATGTCACATTATCAGTAATCTACAAAGCAGGCGGGTTGTGTGTAGCACAAGCACGCTCCCTGCTGGACGTGTACGTTGTCACATTATTACTTACTCCAGTAGGATGGCTGTGTGTCACATTATCACTCACCCCGCTAGACGTGTACGTTGTGTCACATTCTCACTTACCCCGCTAGACGTGAACGTTGTGTCACATTATCACTTACTCCAGTAGGCGGGTTGTGTGTAACATTATCACTCACCCCGCTATACGTGTATGAAGTGTCACATTATCGCTTATTTCAGTAGGCGGGTTGTGTGAAGAGTATCACTCACCCCGCTAGACGTGAACGTTGTATCACATTATCACTTTCTCCAGTAGGCGGGTTGTGTGTAACATTACTCGCCCCGCTAGACGTGTAGGTTGTGTCATATTATCACTTACTCCAGTAGGCGGGTCGTGTGTAGATTAATCACTCACCCCGCTAGACGTGAACGCTGTGTCACATTGTCACTTACTCCAGTAGGCGGGTTGTGTGTAACATTATCACTCACCCCGCTAGACGTGTATGTTGTTTCACATTATCGTTTACTTCAGTAAGCGGGTTGTGTGTAGAATTATAACTCACTCCGCTAGCGTGAACGTTGTATCACATAATCACTTACTCCAGTAGGCGGGTTGTGTGTAACATTATCACTCACCCCGCTAGACGTGTATGTTGTGTCACATTATCGCTTACTTCAGTAAGCGGGTTGTGTGTAGAATTATTACCCACTCCGCTAGACGTGAACGTTGTATCACATAATCACTTACTCCAGTAGGCGGGTTGTGTGTAGAATTATCACTCAAGTTCTGGTCATAATGGCGATTGCATAGGCCCACGATCAGGCCAGGTAAAATCCAATGGCATCGACTTAAGGAGAGATATGTTCCAGAGCATTTTGTGATGTATTGACTCATCATGTGTTGATATACTATTATAGGTGTAAAATTGAAATATACCACCTTAATACACGGTTTTCAGACCAACGATGTATTGGTGGATTGGTTTGATTAAAATAAACATGTGGAGTTAAAAATGCCATCAGTCAGTGTTTATTGTTTATTTTTTAATTCTAAAAGCCTGCTTTGAATAAAAATTACTAAATGCATATTGTTTCAAATCGTGTTCATTTAACGAAAAACATGGGGAAATTAAGACATAGGACTACATAAATATGGACTCAAAATTAACATGCAAATCATTTTTTAGATATCATTAGGTATTACTCAAATAACGTATTTTGTAAAATTTGCGTTACAAACTGTCAAGCTTACCCTCTGTAAACATCGGGACCTGATAACAGAAGCTGTATAAGACTGTAAAAAGTAGAACGTGAAGTGATCTTTGAGAAAAGAGTAGGATTGGCTAAACATATTATAATGGTGATCACATGGGCCTGTGTTATCAGATGACGTAAATGAGATAGGCTTTTGTGTGGTTCTTCATTCATTGAGCAGCCCTCCTCACCGGAAACAAGGTAAGCAATAAACGGTTAGGCAATAATATGCTGAGCATGAAACTAAAACTGTTTAAGTGTCATTGAATAGTATGTCAGTGTCGACTGACAATATTTCTTCTCTCTTTCATACATAAGTGCAGTCCCTGCTGCGATAAAGGTACAGAATGTATTTATTCCAAAACACCAAATAGCTTCCGGTTTGAGAAAATATTTCTGGCTATTAATAAAGTAAAGACGTCGATCTGTAGTGGCTTACGCAAAAATCAAACATTAGAATTCAGAAGTGCGACCTGTTCCTTTGTTAATTCTAAGAGGATTCCCTACGTAGAGGCCCATTCTAGAAAGCAAGTCCAACTGGAGTTATATTGGCTATCAATCTCTCAGAAAGAAAAAAATCACTTTAAAAACACTGATTGATTTAAGGTCATATAATTGTTTATTAGAATATCTTCAGTGCATATGCTCCCACTACAGTTAGTTTATTATCATTTATATTTTAGGTGTGTCCATGTGTCGTTTCTCACAGAACACTAAAAACACAATCTTTGTTATATAACTTCTTTGTATAGAAATTATGATTAACAAATATTTGTTTTAATTAGATATCTAGATACGTTTGAAACTGAATTGTCATCCCAGGTAGTCACACACACACGACGTCTTGAACCTTACTACTTATGATACTTCACATATAGCCATTTGTTGGTATAGTTATATTATAATCAATAGAAATATAGGAACATTGTTTAAGGTAAACACCTTAAGGACAAATCTGTTTACAAGAATCATGATTTACATAGCTATACTGGTGACTAGCGCAAAACGTCTTGACAAGTTAGATTTGTTGTCATTTCTGTGAACACGGGTATAGTTTGCTTATGTGTATTTAATCACGCGAGCTTTAGTATTTAGGTTATGTATGTCAGATAGTATTTTGAGTGTTTCCTCATTCAGTGAGTAGTTCTCCTTGTATGATAAAAGGTAAGCAGATTATATATTGTTTGAAGTATTCAGCTCACGACTTTAAAGTGATTTATGTGGTCAGTTTAGTCGTTTAATATTTCTATATATATATGTATAATGTATCTGTATGTGGTTGAAATATTGCCGCAAAAATATTGCAAGCAAAATAAACTTAATAATTTAAATGCTTGATCTAAAAATGAGCTAAACCGAAGTAACACACATAGTCTTAACAAAATATTTTCAACTAGCCACCTGCATGATCTAAATGATTTTCAGAAATACGAGTACTTCTGGACTGCAATCATGAAATAGCTCTATTGATCAACTACTAGGCATCATAAACGAGTCCACCTTTATCTGCCGTTAAGCCGAATTTATTTCTCTTACAAATAAATTTATCAAAGTTGCTCAGTCAATCATCGCCTAGTTTTGATGATTGTTATATGATCCATTACTAACTTGATGAACTGAACCCCCGGATATTTTCTCTCTGACCTGGTTTATTGCCGTTTTGTTTTTCGTGTCTTTCTAGTGTTCGTAAAAAAGGACTAAAGGTATTCTGCCTGTATACCCTACTACCAGAAGTGTCACAGTTCCCACAATGCATGTTGTTAAGACACTCATCCATATTCCCTTCGGTTAGTTGACTAAATTAATATACTAGAATGATTTCTAAGTGTCATGTTTGTTTTAGTCCTTTACAGGTTTGTAACAGATGGTTTATATAATTTCCGGTATAGGTTTGTGGAGAGGATGGCAAGCTGCATTTAGTTTCCATATATTTCTTTGTTCTCTCCGTTGTAAACATACTAGTGAGTAAGTGTGTATTCCGGATATCCTATGTATTTTGTGCCATTGTATTACCGATCATTGTATTACCGATCATTGTATTACCGATTGTTGGGTGTTTCTATGCCGATGTTGTTCGTACTTTTAGCAACATTTCTTAACCCAAAGATGGTGGGACAGGAAATTCATTTATATGTTGACATTGACGTGTTTCCAACGTAGTTACTTTACACGAGGGTGTAGATTTTATTGAACTCAAATCACGCTTGCTGATATACTTGTCATAGCCCCAATGCAAACATAACGGTCGACCTCCTGACATCCAGAAATGTTTGTAACATTTGCACTGACATTTGATGACGATGATTTTCTATAAAATGTAAAATTGACCAAGAACGCTTTATAATGTTTCTGTCGAGCAGTTTCGTTTCTATAAAGTTAAAAACCTACATGATTAATTTCAAATTTCCGTTACATATCGTATACAACAGTTTCAAATACTGGTTATGTAATAGCAGTACTAGCTAAACTGGATAATAATTAAAAGTTGGTCATAGTATATCTTCGTAAGTGTTAGCCATTTGCTATTGATAAAGAAAGCATTGACTAATAAAAATCGATCTTTTCATAGAAACAGTTAACACTTATAAACATATACATAATCATAAAATGAAGGCGGTATTATTCTGGTGAAACAATCACAATTATTTTAGATATTAACTTTACATAGCTTATTGAATGATATCATAACTGGGTTTTTTCTTTTTCTATGTTTTTGTAGCTTTTAATTTTACTATTTGCAGTCAATGATGAGCGACTATTGGAGCAAAATCTCTGACCGATGTCCTTACATAGTTTGGCTATTTGTACATTAATTATCAATGTTTCTAAACATTTTGCCAGTGTTTTATATCTTTAGCATTGGGTTCACAAATATTACACACTTATCTACACAAACCACACTTAAGAGTTGGTGTGCGTTATGCAGGATATTCTTTAAACGTAATTAAAAGGAATATATCAATGAATAAACTTGGGTCGGACTATGCAAAAGTATGAATATAAATTATATATGCGTACGTATTTTCAATAATTTTCTAGAGAAAATGTATGAATGGAAACGGCCAAGCTAAAAATTGTCAACTAAGAGTTATATTCTGAACACAATTTATAAAAAAAAATCAAATTGTCCAACAGTTAGGTCTGCGTAACACTGTTGAAAAGTTTAATATATATTTGACTTAGAAAAGCTTACTTCAAATTATATAAATATAATTCCCAATGAGTTTGGTCCAAGTAACACCGAAAAATCTAATCAAACATTTTGAAATAGCATCAAAATTATCTACCGAACTTTTTATCGAACGCTAAATCTAGATAAATTGCCATTTAAAGCAAGCCGAGATCATTTCCATTTAAATTATTAATTCTTTTATGCTGTGTTAGTATATTTCAGATAAGAAGAAGCATTGAAATGGCTCGGCTAGTATTGATGTACATTCTAATTGCAGTAAGTATCACATGGATCTTAAATTAAGTACTTACATAACTGTGTAATGCTCGAGCAGATCAAGTCGTTCTGTTCAGAAATGCTCATCTTTTATAAAACTGTTTCATCTGCTTTTTTATTTTTATATTGTACTTGTGGTTTATGATTTTAGATTCCTTATGCAACTGTAGCAACATCGGTTCCTACAACATCGGTTCCTACAACATCGGTTCCTACAACATCGGTTCCTGCAACATCTGTTCCTGCAGCAAATTCACTCTCAACACTTATCCCTGATACTTTTTATTACAGTATGTTATTAAAACGAAAAATTCCATAAGGTTTCCATATGAGGATCAACTTGTGATTGTTACCATCTTATTATATTTTACTGACGTGTCTTAACCTTATGGGATTTCGGCTATAAAATATTGGCAATTATGTCACTCCTTATACTCCTTATTTTTCGTCATAAAAACGTTTAATCGAGCGATTGAAAACATAGCATGTACTGCCTGCGACTTCACCTGTAGGACGCCATATATATAGCATGTGACTCATGTTGTGCTAGAATCAATGGCCGGATATCGGTTTGCCTCAATTTGTTGTGTCGACCTTTCGCGTTTACCATGTTTTGTTATTTATTTATATGAGTATAATGTTGTTATTACATCTGTGAGCATTTTAATCGTATTTTGAAGATTGTACCCAGGACGGAGGAATCAAAATAATGAATGATGAAAATTCCTTAGCCAATGTGAAAATAAATTATCTCAACAACTCCGCAAGTAACTGTTCCGATCCAAAAACAGAGGACGATGGATCTATTGCCATAGCTACCTGTAAAATGGTGAGACCAGAAAACGTACCCATGAATCTGTTGCAATCTCTACTAAGGAGGTGCAATTCGATTTATCTATATTCAGATTGTCGCTATAATGTTCCACGTGATATAGATTTACTTTAACCAATTCAAACAACAAATTCTACAACCAACAAATTTTAAGTTAATAACAATAAAACAACTTAAAGTCGTTTTAAAATGTTTCAGCAAATTATTTGAACAACAATTATGTAATCAAACTATTTTAATTACATTTCTATATGCATATATATTTGTCAGTGGTCCAAATTCACTCAGGTTTTCAGGGCATGCAAAGTCATGCGGTGTAAGTTTGCCTGACATTGTTGCTTTCGGGAACAAATTAAACTGTAATATAGACAAGTCTTGACTTACATTCAAAGTAAATATAATATGCGAATATCCTTATCAAAAGAATTGTATATAGTTTAGGTTATACCAGACAATTAGCAAGACTAATTATCGTTTGCCTTCATATTGTAGAACACAACAGTCACTATCGTACTTGAGGCAGAAAATACAACAGGAATACTTGGAGGGAGGCATTCGAAAACCTTCCAAATTAAATGTGACGAAGTGAATATTCAACCGTACCTCCTCAACGTAACAGTCAAAGAAAATGTCGGGTAAATATTGAAACTTACGTTAAGTCAGTAATTTTTCATTGTATCAACCTAAGTGAAAATCAAATTTTGCACAGTCACATCTCTTGCGTGACACGCACTGTATAAGACAGATGAATATGACTATTCTTGATTCGTCAGCATTAAAGTAAACTAATGCCAAAGTTTGTTAAATGGTGTCACTCTTGTCCGCATGAAATGCCTTAAATGACAGAAAATGCAGTACATGAAATTATTTACTTTCAGCAAAACGAAATCCAGTGCTAGCTATCTAATGCATAAAGTCAAAACTAAACGTTCTCTCGTGCTAGTTATCATAAAATGAGTATTCAATCAATAATCAAATTTATATACACAGCTTTACATATTTAATACACATATACAAACGGCTTATCAATTCATATATAGAAAAAACATTATTTCACACGCTACACATGTACATAATTTAGAGGTATTCTAAGTTAACTGCTTTAAATATTTCGCTGAATTATGATTGCACTAATTCAATTTTCGTTGTATAGTTTCTTATTGCACTAATTGTGAGCGCACATTTATCAAACTGCTAATCGTTGAGAAAAATAGTATACACTCCAATTTGAGTCCACTAAAATTAGTACTTTTACAGAGTTATTAATACATCATAATTTTGTATCTGCTTTATTTCCTTTCAGTAAGAAAGCAACTCCCAATGTTATTACTATGGCAACGGAACCCTCACCATATCCGATATCATCGTTAACAATGACTATTAAAGACAAGAACAACACCGCTACAGAAGCAGCGTCTATCGGCCAAGTATTGACTGTTGCCATAATAATCCCAGGTAAAATGTACAATGTTGGTTATAACTCAGCTTGACTTTTATCGTTCATCGTCCTATTACATATTGGTTTTCATTTTGAGGCAAACCTAGCACGGAGCGCAGAGACGGACACTGAGACAGCCAAAATATTTTTTCATTAAATCTTTATTAAGAATTCCTAACCCCTTGCTGGCAACAAAGCACTGAGGAGTTCTCCTTAAGTGTTTCTTATTTGCAGTTACATCCCCTGGTTTTCATCCTGAAAAGTAGTAGCTTCTCTCGACTGATCTCACCTTACTTGTTTTCACAAATTTCCCCTCTATGTCATGTTGCACGGGAGAAATAATTAGAATCCAGGCGATTAAAATTGAATTACAAAATGGGAAAAACACACATATTCCTAGTTTCTTTTGTACTCGTTTCACTCCTTATATGGCTTACTGATATAATTTGTATTGTGTTAAAACAAATGACAGAATGATAATGGTCACTTCGCCGCCTTCATGTTGCCATTGAAACGAAACAATCATTAATGTGACTTTACCGCGAAGAAACGCTAATAACTGTTCTTTCGTCATGCACCTCTCTATACGAGAATGCAAAGGAACACAAAGACGAAGACGTACAGGACAAGTACCTTCATATTAACACTACCATAATAGGACACCATCTAATCGTTGGAAATTTAATTTTTGATATGGATATATTACGTACGATATTACCTGTTCGTTTACCTGCGGTCACGCGCATGTGTTTGTACACACTGTTACACGTCCCATTCGCTGCTCTAGAGATAAAATAAATAAAAAATGAAATTATCACAACTTTTGCTTTTCTTGGTCTTGGTCTCTGCCCTCCGTGCTAGGTCTACCTCAAAATGTGAAATGTCTATTGGCAGCTAATTCCATTTAAGGCTGTACCTCCATGTTTGTAATAATAGCAAAAAATACTATAATAATAAAGATAATAAACATTATCCGCACCGATTTATTTCTTTACTAAAACAATTTTTAAGGATTAAATTCAAGTCATCTCCCCTAATCCCTTTTATATTTAGTTTGGTTATGTTTTATTTCGTTTAACGTCCTTTTATCAGCAAAGTTATAATATATGATAACAAACAGCACATTTTCTATGTCTTATACATTTTAAATTAAACGTGATAAGAAATTGTTTAAAATTACCAATGTTTGCTGCAGATAAATCGAACATCAAACCAACTGAATGCAAAGCATCAGGAAACGGCAAGAGCGTTACACTGTGGCAGGAGAAAGGGTAATACATCAATATAATACTGTAATACATTGTAATACAAGCCATGGTAAAATGGCATGTCTATGTACTGTTTTACACAATGATAGGAGACGAAAGTAGATATGAACATATTTTGATATATCCAGTAAAAGAGGCAGTGGTAGTAAATGTCTTCATACTGCTATACACGTTAGTAGGAGTGGAATTCGTAAAGCGTATGGCACGTTTAGTATCAGACAGTGAAATGGTTACATAATGGACAGTTATTAAATTTCAAGACGGATGCTGTTTCATAAGTATAGATCACATTATGAAACACAGGATATTCATTAACTCTCTAGATATGAGTCATATAGTAATGTCAATGGTTTTGTTTTCCTTGGCAATATGCTACTTTTATCCTGGATGGGTACTATACTCATAGTAAGTTGTGGAACTATGAACAGATTCATAATATAGGTATATCTCTATCTCATTTCCTTTTTTTAAATCATAACTCCTTTGGTTTATATTCTACTATACGCTTCCCCCAAAAACGGTTAGTGTCTTAACAGAGAATCGAAGTGTCTGTTAAAAATACTAAAAAACACACAATAGTCAGCAAAATATTTTGTATTTCATTTGAAATGAAAATCAACCTCTTGAATTCAACGATGAGATATATACAGCGTAAAGGTATAGTGCGAAGCAGTATAAAACTGACCTAGATATCGGACAGCGAAATTCGGTCTTGTTTAAAGGTGTAAGCATTCTATTAACTAATCATTTATGAATTACAGCCCGACATGTGTGTATTTTATGCGTGTGTGCAGGATAAGGTTAATTGGCAAAATTTGCCTACTTACGAAAGAAGATATTAAACAGATAAAAATGTAGGTACTGAAAACATCAGTTTACAACTGGTTTTTTTTATATCTTTAACACATTGAAAAATTTAATCAGAATATCTTATATCTATAACTTGTGTTTATAATGTTGTTGCTACCTTTTTGTTTATACAGTGTTATTAACTAGATGGATGAAATATGACTTTATATTTTTAACAGATCACATTCTCCTTATGTTGTTTTAGGTAATTATATCTATACTTTTATTAGGGATCTTTCGCATGTGTTATTGTGTATGTCTAGATAGAAAACAAAAGGTTTGTGAATTATTATCAATATACATCAAATACAATAAGTTGTATGTGTTATTGATTGATTTTTATGACTGTGTACTTTGTGTACTGTGTATCTTTATCGCAGTTGTAAACACGACGACGAACTCTTCGGAGTGAACTGGAGGAAAGACTTGAAAGAGGTTACAAACACAATGTATGCCTTCCGGTTTGTGGGGTCGTCCACATCAATTAATATCACGTGCATAGTACGTGTGTGTCCAAATGGATACATGGGTCATGACTGTGATCTCGTAAGTATCGACACAAAGTCCCAATCAAATACATCAAGCATTAACGCATTACCTATTGGATTCTGTAAAAACAGGTCAAAGTAAACGTTAATCTCAAAGAGCGATCCTAGATAACGCGTCCGGGCATATAACCGATAATATTAAAAGTACTTTAAATGTAAGAGGTAAAACAAATCAAATAATATCTTGTAAATATGCTATAACACTAGAGATATACGATTTTTTTTTAACTTTAGACATTGAAGTGAATTTCGTTTAATTACGTAACGATATGATTTTACGTTTTGTTCACTGTTTTTTAATAAATCTGTCTTAAAGTTTGCTAAGATATCTCTTTAAGAACCGTAACATTGATTTGTTTGTAACAAATAATTTGTGTCGTACAGTCGACTTGTGAAAGCAAAAAGAGGAAAAGGAGTACTGCACTGTTAGAGACCGTTACCATCCAAAAGGCCACTACTTCACTCACCATCAGAGCTCCACTCATGACCAGTAGGGCAGGACGTAAGTAATTGTGGCATAGATTTGTACTTACACACATTTTCTATAGCGAACACAAAACACGGCATTTTGTTAAAATATATATTAGAGCGTTATTTTTAACTTAAATTTCCTAGAACATCAGTGATATTATTGAATAGTATTCAATACAATGTTACCTTTATTCCTTGGACGATTTGTGACCTTTAAATCGGGAAAAAACAGTATCTCAAATTCCAAAACATCAAAAAGCAATGATGCGTATTTTGTTAAAGCAAACAATGTGTGGAGGTAAAATGAGCGCTCGATTATTTACAGACTTATATAAATATTAGTATGCATTGATGTTAAGGGTACCATCGAGTAAAATATATTATTTCTATACCACTAGTTTTAAATAATTGTTTGTGGTTTTCTACTGAAGTATATCGTACATATAACACCTTACAAGGCATTTGACAGAATTATGGCTGTTCGAAATTTTAGTATTTGACAAAAAGGACAAAAACAGAAAACCATTTAACTGCATTGCTTCAAACTTCATCGCCAAATTATCATTTTACCGAGAATCATATATGAATGGCAGACTAACTTTTTCATGCAAGTGATTCTAAACCGGTAATATATTTTCGGTTGCTTCATCTTCTACATAAAAGGGAGAATACTCTTAGTTGTAAAACAGCTCTTGAGTCGATCATTTCTATGCTATTTCTTTGTTTTAAAACGTAACGCGTGATGAGAAAATGGTCCTAATGTAGAAAAGTGGTTATAAGTTGAATGTTAGTTTCGTTATTTTCCACTTAATTATTGTTTATCGCTTATATATCTCGAAATGTTTCTTTAAATATATCATCGCAAGTACTTGACTACGAATTATTTAGGAATGCACATTTTCATACACGATTTTGTTTTTCAAAACTTGGTTTAATCGTTATTTTTTAATATTTTTAGGACAAGGATATGAGCTTAACACCATCATCGGATTAGCTCTTGCTACTGTTGTCTTTTTGAAGATTACATTCTTCCAAGGATGAAACATGGAATATAGGCCAACACATGAAAGTGTGTTTCAAAATGATGTCACAATATTTACAGCTGATCACACAGTCTCTATTCAACATTCTATATTTTGGTACTGAAGCTTAAAGCCACATACAGAAATCAGTTACAGGATATAATTTCAGAAATCTTTGTTATATAATAAAGTTGTGAATATCGACTATATATATATTCAAACAATATTGATTTAATCATATCAAATCTATCAAAATCACACCTTTGTAATCCATTCACCAAACTGATAAAAAGAACGTAATTCTGTTAGCCTAACTGCATATTAGATCAGTTATATTTGTAATATTTATTAAAAATAAAAAAATAAAATTTATATGTCTAGCTATTTAAAACGTTCACTCTAATATAATTTTGAGAATCACATTTCTATACATAATCTTTTTTACTTTTACTGTATATGAACACTTGAATCAATATTTTGCTTCTGAATACACATAATGATGTATACAACTATGTCATATATATATTTGTTTGAAAATTTTAATAAAAAATATATTTGCAAATAAATCTCAAACGACTTGTTTCAATTTCGTTGTATAAGCCTTTTGCAGTGTGTGTGTTTTTTTTATATAAAAGGAGATATTGCAGTACATATCATTTGTTGATACTGTTAATTGTCACACATTGACGCTAGGTTATAACTTATAAACTTAAATTACAATAGACAAATATTCTTGCGTTCAAAGTACATTATATAATCTACTATATATTATTTTTCATATATAATATATGACATGTACAATGGCAAATGCAGTATTTCAAATACTCAAATTGAATATAAAATATCAAAACAGCAATTCAAAATTGATTGAATGAAATCTTACTTCTCATCTCATTAATGGAAATATTTGGATGATAAAAATACGGTCATTCAGAATAAATCCTTCATATCTGACAATATAATGTACACTCAATGGTCAGCGGCTTACCTATGGTTGAATGTAACACACACAGAGGTGATAACGCCATCAAAATAAGATACATTATGCCAATATACTCGTATATCATACAGCTGTTTCATCATGCTAGGACTTATCGGAAATATAAGGGGCCAAAACATTTGCAAAGATGACACAAAATCGTGTTGAAGATGAGCTAGATTTCATTCTGACTATTTTGAACAATTTTGTTTTTATTTCTAGTTTTGAATCAATGATATTTGCAGCTAATATGAAGTATTTATCGTTATGGCCAATACAAAAGGACTTAGCTAACCAAATATAAAAATATGTTTTTTGTATTTAACTTAATAAATGCTCATTTTAAAAAAGTCCTCAACCTAGATCCTAGTCTCCGGCAATGTTTATTGTGCCTAAAAAGACCACTCCCCCAACATTGAAGTAAAAACAGCATCGAAAGTAGAAAACTTATTTATTGTTCCTTCATCTTCGTCACCATAATAAAACATATCGTCACTTGTTATCCTTCCAATTGTTTTGAATTTATAACGTATGCGTATAAAATCAAAAAGTCGTTTCCAAACATGAATCATTGAAACATCCAAATGCTTCAAAATCGATTCATTCTCGAGGGAGATTGTTTTACCTTGCTAAACACTAGTTATACAAAAACAGTATATGTAACTTGATTTTTAACCTTTACCCGTGATGTGACAAAACTATACATGACTTTGATTATATTAATTACTAATCTTGATTCGGAATTTATGAGTAATTTTAAGCCACAATACACCCTTTGTATGAGATCAAACGCTTTCGGAATATCAATCAGTGGACAATGCGATATTGATTGCGGTTGTTTAGGGAAGCGTGAAGCTTTATAAAACTGTTCGTTAATAAGCACACACAATATTGCTTTTCCTCACGTCGTATTTATTTTTCCTTTGTTAACACATATATACAACCAAGATCCCATTACGGGAGTGTTAATTAAGTGAAGAGTTACTTCCCCTTGTATATGGATAGTATTGTTTCACCAATCATAAATACATCCTATAAAGTGAATAAAAATAGTAACATGATTAAATAGCATAAGAACAACTGAACAGAAGATCGCAGAAAAACTCTAAGCTAAGCTGTTAACAACTAATTACAATACAATATTTAAATTACAAATATGTTCCTTGAACGAATTAAGAAAGGGGTTTACAATATATCACGCTGTTTCAAGTCAAGTCATTCTGTAGTAAACGTAATGAATTTATTACAATTGTAAAGATTATATATGCCAGACAACTTCTTACTTATATGTCAAGTATTACATGGTGTGAAAGTCGGGTACATCGTTGTGTCATAATATACAGATGTAAGGGTTTAAAGTCAAAACAGGGGTTATCTCTGAGTTTTTTCTGAAGTAGGCCAGCGATAGATATGACTAGGTGAGACCTGACTTATCAAATCTATAATCATTTTAACGGACCCGTATGACTAGCATAGCTGTATTATCACTGCAGTGAAAGTGTAGACAAGTCTTGGTTCAAATAAAATCTTACACGATATGTGCTACAAGATACTTCAAATTTACAATCATCATTAACTCAACTTGATATTGAAATATGGTCTTGCAAACTTTGCTCAACAGAACAGAATATATATTTTTATAATATTCGAGTGTTTATTTGGTATTTCCGGACTCCTAGCCACATTATCTCTCACTTGACACATAAAGATAAGTCACCAGCCGGTTTTGTATTGTTTCACGCCTTTAAACCCTCATCCATTTCCTGATATCACCGATAATCCACGTAAGTATTATGTAAATATCACGTAATACGAACAAATGTAATATGATATATTATTAAAAGAGCTAATGTTTAGTAGTGGCACTGCAGTAACAGGTTTTAAGAGCACTATATTACTCTTTCATGTTCAGAGTGTCCAATGTATATATTTGTCATTAGCGAACATATTGCAAACGTATTGCAGACGGCAGAATTTGATTAAAAATACCGAATAAATCCTTAATGTTACGCGTCATCATCAATGTCGAAACATTGGATATTAAAACACCAATGTTTAACACAGTGGATATCAAAACATCAATGTCTAGACATTTAATTTGTGCGTCAGGCGTGAACTTTTCAAATGTGTATACAGTAAGTTTATGATGTCATTTAAAGACGTGACAGATCCCTTTTAGTATTTTATAATTTGATACAAGTGTGTCAAAGTCATTGGTGTCGTTGTCATAGTGCATAATATATCTAGAACTAAACTCGATTGTATGCCCAACAATGGTAACGAAATGAGACTTAAAGTTGTACTTAAGTTATACACAAAAATAATCATAGTCCACTTCTTAATCAGATGTCGGATGAAAGAGATCATCATAATGGGAACCACATGTGATACGGAACACGGTGAATTTTCTCGCTCATATCGTAAATATTGGTTTACCATTTAATACACTGTTCAGACTATCACAAGTCAATAACGTTTTATTATATATTATTTTTATATAATGAATTAAACAAATACAACTTTTGTATTTTACTTCCATAATGAAACAGAAAACATTCATTCACCTGCAAAGTGTCACATTCGCACAATTCATTTTAAATCATTTATAATATCATTTATAAGATATTGGTATCTTTAACCGATCAAAGCTCAAAACGAAACACACGAACATTTTATTCATTTTGCATTTTCTGCAATGCCATTAACTCCCTTATCCAAAAATGCATATAAAAGAGTTTAATACAAGAATGTTTTGACTTCTCAGGGTGTACATCCTTAACAACATTTTAAGGCATTACTGGTCTACATAGTCGTCATAGTAATTACGCTGTCGAATTATTTGACAAGATGAGACATGACATTTTTACGCTATGATTATTTTACCAGACACGTGTGTCATTCAATGCTACATTATCCTTGCGCATGAATAGATAGACATGCTTTGGTTCAAATAAAATCATATCCGAGATGTTATTTGTTTAAATAAATGTAAATAATGTAAATGTTCCCCATCATTTCTAACTTATAAACAAAACCAATAAATCAACGTGGTGTTGGAGTATGGTATTGCAAATTCTGCTGACAAAAAACCTAAATATTACAGATGTGTAAACAAAATTGTAATTCGATTTGAAAATATACGAAAGAACAATGAACAATTCACATGATCAACATGGATACCATTGAAAATACAAGGATGAAAAGACCATCCATTCCAGAACACAAAGCGTCTTCTTCGACACCCGTCATTAAAATCGAAGTAAAGCCGTGTCATCGGAGTGACGGCGAAACCACACGGCACACTAAATATAATCAAAACCACCGACCTTCATTTTGCAAAACGCATTTGTTTCCCGAAAGTTATTATGATGGCCAACAAACTTGTCCATAACTTCTATCTGCCTGAGTCACTCGAAACATCCATCAGCATGATATTTCGCGGAAATTCAATTTCATCATGTAGATCGCACAGCTAAGTAGTAAGCCGTCCGTGTTGATCATGTTGTTAACGATAGAAGATAGCAGCCGATGTAGATATCCTTTATATTTAGTTAAGGAGAATATATCCAATGCACGGGGTCTGTGAATTTATATTGTTTGAAAACACAAAATAGGCGATTCATCTGAAAGTGAAACTGAAAGATGTTAGTACCAGTCTTGAAAGATTTTTTTCAATACTATTCAGCCGTATATAAAGCCATACAAAACGAAAACGAAATGCATCATGACAGCCGAACAAAGCCCGGAGTCTAACCCATGCGTGTTTGATATACTGTGTGTGTTACACTGAGAACAAACTTGTCCATAACTTCTATCTGCCTGAGTCACTCGAAACATCCATCAGCATGATATTTCGATTGGAAATTTAATTTCATCATGTAGATCGCACAGCTAAGTAGTAAGCCGTCCGTGTTGATCATGTTGTTAACAATAGAAGTTAGCAGCTGATGTCCTTTATATTTAGTTAAGGATGATGTATCTTATAAACGGGGTCTGTGAATTTATATTGTTTGAAAACAACAAACAGGCGATTCATCTGAAAGTGAAACTGAAAGATGTTAGTACCAGTCTTGAAAGATTTTTTCATTACGATTCAGCCGTATATAAAGCCATACAACGCAAACAAAACGAAAACGAAATACATCATGACAGCCGAACAAAGCCCGGAGTCTAACCGATGAGTGCGTGATATACAGTGTGTGATACTAGTCAGTATATCTCCCGTCAGATACATGCAGAAATAAAAAGATCTTACAGTACTGTGTTGTAACCTATGTAAACCAGTCCACTGATGAATGTGTAAATGTTATATTTCAGACAATGTATATCATCTCGTTGAATCGTGTGATGCTGCTTCAAATTAATATTCTACAAA